AATGGCATCATGCCCCACCCACCCCCATGCAGTGCGATCGCCCGCACCCGAACATTTGGCCCATTAGGGCCTGTGTTCAGGTCCTGTGCGAATGTGCCATGCGTTCGGGGACGGGGGACATGGCTGCGGTGCCATTGACTTCAATGCACCACCACGCCCTATCCCGCCCCTGAAAACAGGGAGCCAGCTGAGTTGCGATACAGTGCATTCCAGTGGCGCCCTCTCTGGAACGCACTTTGTGGTGTGAACCTCCTAATCCTAGCAGCTAGGAATTCCCAGCTCCTAGAGCAAACATTTTATTTATGTCTTTCTGTGGGACTAAGTGTTTAGGGGTCAGTAGACAGTACCGCGCAGAGTGCAGAGGACAGTACCGCGCAGAGTGCAGAGGACAGTACCGCGCAGAGTGCAGAGGACAGTACCGCGCAGAGTGCAGAGGACAGTACCGCGCAGAGGACAGTACCGCGCAGAGGACAGTACCGCGCAGAGGACAGTACCGCGCAGAGGTCAGTACCGCGCAGAGGTCAGTACCGCGCAGAGGTCAGTACCGCGCAGAGGTCAGTACCGCACAGAGGTCAGTACCGCACAGAGGTCAGTACCGCACAGAGGTCAGTGGTCAGTAACGCGCAGAGTGCAGTAACGCGCAGAGTGCAGTAACGCGCAGAGATGTGGAGTCTCACCAGGGCTGTGCGGGGTCTTGTGGGAGAGTGGATGAGAGGGGTGATGTGTGTGCATGCAACATCACTCCTCGTTGGCTAGTGGGTGGAGCTCCAGAAGGCTGCCTGGATAACCTCCACAAGGAAACAAGTCATCAGTTATGGCAACAACACTCAGTTTAGGGGCGGTGGTGACAGCCCTAAGAGCCAATCAGGGTTGATGATTTATCAGTGTGTTGCTAGATTATCCAATCAGCAGACCACGGGTTGGGAAGGTGATAGCTTTGGAGTTCAGCTTAATGAATAGTGGGGGTGAAAAATACACCAGTGGGCAGTGCACACCTAGCATATTTGACACCCATCTAAATGTTTATGACTGTCCACAGCAACTACTGTTTATACATTTTACCTGTTTCATTTGCAGTTTCTTAGGGTCAATTCACACCAATTGCGGTGCGTTCCAGAACTGCTGAAACGCACAGCAATCACTCCCTAAACTTTCCCCTTCATTCTGAAGCGGGAGGGGGCGTGGCAGTGCATTGAAGACAATGGCACCGCAGCCAACCCCCCTATCCCCCACGCGATCGGACGCGTGGCAAAACACTGCCTGTGTTCCAGTCCACTGCGAATGCAAAAAATGCTGCATGCTCTATTTTTTGTATTCGCAGTGGACCAGAACGCAGGCAGTGTTTTGCCACATGGCCGATCGCAGTGCAGGTGGGTGAGCGTGTCTGCGGTGCCATTGACTTCAATGCACCACCACACCCCCTTCCTCCCCAGAACAAAAGGGGAAGTTTAGGGATCTGCGGCTCTGAAACGCATCGCAATTGGTGTGAATGAACCCTCAAAATCAGCAAGGATTTGGACTTTGTTCTACATTAGATTCGGATATATACATATGGATTCCCACTGTGGTTTGGCAATTTCTATGCATGGCTGGTAGTCACCCACCTTATGCAAAGGCTATTCTAGCTAGGCACGGTAATACAATGATGTCAAAATTGTTATTGAAGTGACTCCACCGCTGGTTCAAAATGTAAGTTAAAAAAAAACATGTTTCCCTGCAAAGGACCACCTCCTGCTGCCTGTGCTGCCCGTCTCTGCTGTCCTCATGTGCTACACTAGGGCTGTTTGGACTCTCGCGGGCGGGTGGCTAATTAAACAGCAGCTTGATCTTCGTACGGTGGATGGGAGGGGTGATGTGTGCACACGCAACGTTACTCCTCATTGGCGGGCGGAGCTCCAGAAGATAAACTCCGTGAGTGACCAGTTATTTCAGCGGTGAGTGTGACAGGACTCTTACGCTGCCTGTGCACAGCAGCGTTAAGGTTCCCTGTCACTTCAAAACGGGGCAGGCAAATTAGGCGGCCGCGAGGCCCTTGTGAGGGCGAGGTCCTTGTGAGGGCGAGGCCTTCGGCGACCGCCTAATTTGCCTAATTAGAGAGCCGCCTCTGTGAGCCCACTATCTATTCCTCTATTACTTCTTTCTGTATTATTTTTTTTTATCTAAGAAGAATTTATCTCTATTTGATTTAAGTAATTTTATTTTTAAGCCCACCCCCCCCATTTCCTAGTTTAAAAGGTTAATTGTACCTTGCTTTTATTCTGCACTTCCTCATTGTGTCTCATTTACGAGAAGTCCTGGTGTCATCTTTCTGAATTCCACTCTCTCTTGCTCAGTCAAACAGCATTAATTCTTTTTTTATGCTTTATATTAAAATAAATAAAACACATGCACTTTTGCAGTAGTTGTTTAATCACACAAAACATTGACGTTAACATGCACAGGCAAATGTGAGTAAATTTAGTTTGTCTATAAACCACAGATTTCACGTTTACCTATGCATGCCTCGACCTGTAGGCACCCGTATTGTAAATCAAAACACACAAAGTCAAACAAAAAAAAAATCACACCTTACAGCTATCATATAATTGTTCTATAAAAACAGGTGAACTTAGTTAAAAATATTTGAGTCTATGGGGTTGATTTACTAACCTTTTAAACACACCACGAACGTGTATACACCTCTGTAGTGTGTTCCCTCCCAGCATGATCTATGGGAGGAATCGAAACACCTTTGTAGTGTGTACACACCCAGCAGGTGTGTTGTTCAAAGCCCTGCAATGAATTGCAAGGTAATGTGGTGTAAATTAGCTCTATGTTATGTTGCTTGCGTTGATGAATGCAGGAATGTAAATGCATGAGCTAACCATTTTTGTCTAAACTGTGAAGCAGCATTATATATGCATCATGTGCATGATTTTTCCATATATGGCATTAGTGGAAATATGCTTTTAGAGACTTTTTGGTTGATAAATACGTTTTGCTGTGTGAAAATCACACACACCTGGTGTGTGTGTGTGTTTAGGTTAGTAAATCAACCCCTATGTATCAAAACAGCATGGATGGATAAACTATTTTGAAATCACATTTTTTCAGGCTGTGTTGAACTTCTTCTGAACAATTGTATTGTGCTTAGCTTGAGTGAGGTATCTAAGTGCATGTCATCTGCCCCCTTGCTCGACTTATTTAAAAAGTATCTAAAGCTGAAATGTTTTTGTTTAGTTTTGTTTTTAATAGTTTTCATTTTGCAGCCTGAGTTCCTGCTGCGTAGGTTAATCCTTCCTATTTTTTATGGTAGGCATTGTCATTAGGACATTGATGGAATAGTCCTAAATTCTACAAATCGGGATGGGGACACCTTTTCCAGTGATTTTTGCTTGCTTTGCAAAGATTTCCTTTCATTTCTGCTGTGTCTCTAGAACAGAAATTGAAGGCAAATCCTCCCACTGGGACAAAAACTGGAAAAAAAACCTAACCATTCCTCACTTCCAGCTTTTATATTTTTACCTAACCATTCCTCACTTCCAGCTTTTATATTCTTACCTAACCATTCCTCACTTCCAGCTTTTATATTTTACCCTAACATATTATACATCTTCCTTTATAGGACAGATAGCTTTAATTTGGCACCAGACTTGGAACAAACATATATTTTTACTTCCTAGTTTATGGCTAGAAACAAATTTGGAAAAATAAAATAAAAACATGTAATTCACTAACCCTAAGCTATTTACCCCAAATGTAACTGGCAAAGCCTTATGACTGTATAGATTTCACATAAGTACGATCTTTATGTAATATTTTGTGATGGTAATGCTTAAAGTCAAAGTTTATCTTTTAATTTTAGAAGACCGTTTTCACATAAATTGTTGCAATAAGATCAGAAACAATTAAAACAAAACTTCTGAGCATTAAAGAAAGCATAAAAGTGGAATGTAAAAATCAAACATGAATAGGATTCCTAAAATTCCCATTACAGTTTTATTACATTTATAAACCATATCAGTTTTGAGGCCAGCAATAAGGCAGTTCTTTATACTTACTATTAAATGTGTTGATACATAGACCCCAAACATAATGTACTCAGAAAGTTAAAACAGGAACAGTTAATTTATAAAACAGAATGGCTTTAAACAAAGCAGTGCTAGAAAGAATGAGTCATGCTGATTACAGTAGATCTTGGTGAAAGAGATGAAGGGCAGTCCATTATGATTTTGTTTGTATATAATTGCTGTTTGGGTAAGTAGTGCACTTAACAAAACATAAACCAAACTAAAAAGGATTGTTCAACTGGACTTTAAAAAGTATACAGCTAAGTGTATTTGGCAACTCAGTTACAAAAGGACGAACAACACTAAGCCACTAGGAAAAACCTAACTAAATCATTTTATATTTGTTGCTTTTAGTTAAAGTGAGCCTATCATCCACACCCAGTGGAGGTAGCCATTTTTTGCATTTCTAATTTTCCGGAACTAGTAAAATTATTGAGGTGTGAGTTTGTGAAAGAGTCCACATAGACAATAATAAGTCCACTGCTTACTTTGAAAATCTTATTCTTAATAGACAGCCAGTTCTTGTATCTTTTGTACTCCATATAGTATATCTAGCTTACCCTACAGACTTTAGACTATACTTTCTAAGTCTACTATTACAGTATTTCCTTACGATGTCTTAAATCATGCAACATTCACCTCAGCACTACCGATAAACACCTACCCTATTTTTCCTCAGTGACCAAAACAGCAAACTGTCAAAACGATGGTCTACTTACCCCCATTATTTGCTAGAGAGACAATAAAGAACCAACCGACTTCTTATTTCCCCATCATGTCCAAACACCATGCACAGACACATACCTGAACTCTACTGACTAAACAACTACCCTACATTTCCTCAGTGACTAAAACATGAGATTGCCGGATAAATGGTCTATGAAGTTTAATTAAACCGAGCAGGAGATGGACAGAGAGTAAAGGACTGATATATAAAGGAGATCTCTGCATTTAGTTTCAGAAGACCGCTCAGGCACTTGTCATTTCTAATATTCACCAATTTTAAAACTTCAGTTGGATGACAATTTAATATAAACAGGAAATATTCAATTACACGCATCTGTCTATATGATTAGGGCATATGTTTATGCAAATTCAAATGCATGTTTATTAGCTCGGAGTTGTCTTTAGGCTACAATCCCATGTACATACACTCACCCTACAAAATGGCCACCTCCTCTGTATGCAGGTTATGGTGTCTACGTTAAAAACCCTGCTATGGGAATACATTGTACTTATAGCACTAATATGGTAGTTCTGGGGTGGTATTAACTCTTGACCTTTCCCTCTGACACAAGCTTTTCATTGAGCTGGCAAAGCTGTTTCAGAAAACCATCATTAGGTCCAATCTCCCTCTTCTGCCTGACTGTGGCAACAGCTGTTTTTACATCCATCTTGTGACGTAACATGAGGTAAGCTATGACCAATGTGGGAGAACGGCTGTAACCCTCACGGCAGTGGACAAAGACCCGACCTGAAAGATGAAAAACAAGGAGAAAAATGTTATGTAAGAAAGTTTGTATGAACATAGAAAGGATTCCAATGAAAACAAATGACAATGTACCATTCTGAAATACGTGATTCATCTTTTACAGTATGCTTTCAGCAATGGCAGCAGTGGGGATCAGGGGGAAAACAGGCTATAGGACACAGTCTTATGATAACAAAATCTACTTAATTTGTGTCACAGCAGCAAAATCTAGAACAAAAAGGTTTTAATTTCAGCAAAAGGGCAAAGCAGCAAACAAGTCTAAACAGCCCTGTGCTTATCAACTTGCTTTCCAAGTCGCTCAATTCCCCTGCTTGGTAGAAGTTACAAAAAACCTTGAGTAGGGTATACACGGTGCGAATGTCGGGCGATTCTTGATGAACCGGCAGAAATTCCCACAGTGGGTGCTGCTGTCGGCACCCCTCCTGCCTGGCATCCCTCAATCAGCTGATCAAAGGAGGAGGTTGGAAAATTCTCAGCCGAACGGAGCTTGCAGCCAATCCGGGTATTCTGACAGCGTCCTGCAGTCACTATCAGAATACAATGAAGACAGCGGGGGATTAATCCATCCAAGTTTGTAAGCATTGATAGAGGAATCTGTTATATTTTCTTTGTTTAACCACAGGTTGAATGAAGAAAGTATAACCGTGTTTACCCAACTCTACTCCTCTCTGTCTCCATTCACTCACCCCATAGTTCTCCTTTAACCCTTCCCTACACTATGATAAAAAAAGTTTGGATAATTATACACGTTAACACACGTTTAGGTAGTTGTATGCATTCACTTTTAAAGTGTCAGTCCAACCAAAAGAGATATTTCATTTTTTGGTAGATGCTGAAGAGCTAAACCAATATACTCATGTCAAATGGTTTTATCTTCTTTTTATACATTCTGCTTGGCACTGAGTTCTTCTACTGATAAAAGTACTGACAAGTCTTTCCCCCAACTGTATTGCACTGAATCTATACAGATTCATATTTTGGCATATTTTGAAGGGCACCATTAGTTTTATACTACAAGGAAAAATTAGTAACTAAAAGCTGAGCAAGTCCGTTCCTTATATGTTGTGATGGGCTGTGATATAGCTAGTCAAAAGTAATTCTCTCTCCAATATTCGATTAAAACATATCTGCCATTGGTAATCTGAGTCCAAACAATAGAAAGTTTTCTCCCATCCTACTATAATTTTTTTTTTTATTAGCTCCCCTCACTTCTTGCCCTGGTGACAACCAGGACAGCAAGCAAGGGAAAACTTTCAGAATCAAGTACAGACAGTAAAAACTGACAGGGAGTTCTACTTCTTCCACGTGCTTTCCAAAAACACAAACGTTTTGGCGGTAGATACACACTTTAAAAAGAATACTAAATAACTGGTTGACCGAGGAAACAGTACTTTAGAAAAACCAAGTCTAACAATTCCTATCAAATATGACATAAGCTATGTAAAATATTAACCTTGATGCAACTTCTTCTTATTCATGTCCTACAGTACTTACTCGCTGATTTTAAAGTGAACCTTTCCTTTAATAATTTGTCAATAACCTAGAACAAGTATGAAAATCAAGAATTGTGACTTTGCTCTGACATTTGTGTGTACTTGTTCCAGAACCAAAAATGTGATGTATGGCAGCTTATTAGTCCTTAGATGTGGTGGCTGCATTAGTTTTCTTTTTATAGGCCTTTTTCTTTTATACAACTCCTGTCCCTGGATGGCTATACTTAATCCTCAACTCTGGGAGGGAGTCATGGTTGTAACCCAGGTTGAATGTTTGCCTTTTTAAACAAAATCTCTTTTGTTTAAAAAGGGATGCGAAAATTAGTTGTCTACAGAAGGAAGATAATTGGGGTTCATTGAGGGACACAAGATTCAGAATCAGACGGGTTATACTGCTGACTACAGAAGGATTTGGACACTGGCAAACAAAAACGAAAAAACAACAGTGACAAGCATTTTAAAACCCCTTCTACTCCCAGCATGCCTCAGTTTTGTAATAAAGCAGTACCAACAGCAATAATCATATGCAAGAAACCTCAATGAGCACCAAGAAAAGGATTTTATGTTCTTCCTGAAGGTATTCTTGTTTATTGGGGGACACCGAATTCAGAGACAATCACTCACAGACTGAGTGCACCTTGACAGGAAAAGGTGGTAACCAGTTCTTAAGACCATAAGCTTTAACCCCTTCGTGACGGGAGACGTACACTGTACGTCCAGCCACAAAGGGACCAAATGACTCGTCACGTACACTGTACGTGACGAGTTATTTGCTGCACTAGAAGGCTGCTAACCGCTGAGAATCAGCGGTTACCTTTCAGTAATAGATGTCTAACTATCTAGAGATCCATTACTGAAAGGGTTAACCTTTTTCAGACACCCGATACCTTAATATCGGGTGTCTGAGAGTCACAGCAAAGCGGACACACATGTCGGCTTTTGCCGGCATTCTGACAGCTCGTATAGATCGAGAGATATCTCTCTCAAGCTATACTGGCTTTTTTTTTTTTTATCTTTTGACTTTCAAGAATAGATACAAAATGTTATGTATTAGACACATAATGTATCTATTCTTGAAAGTAGAATGTTTAAGTTTTCTGAAACATTCACTGACAGCTGAATCCTGAACTGCTGCAGGATCAGTGTCACTAACTTATTATCGGCTGTTCTGAAGTTTGAAGCAGCCTGATAATAAAAAAAATGTATTAATTTATCAAGCAGTAATAGTGAGATTAATTCACAATGACTGCCTGATATAATTAAATAAATAAAATTTGTAAGTATAAAAAAAGTGAAAAGTGTAAATAAATAAAAAAAAATAGTGAAAAGTGTAAAAAAATTAAAAATAAGGGACAAATAAATGAATGTATGTATTGCATGTTTTTTTTAGCTGTGCTGGTTTTGTTAAAAAAAAAAATATTACAAATCAAAACTGGGAAAAAAGGTTTTTTTTTACGTTTTTTCCCCTTTTTTAATTTGTATTTGTCCTAAGTGAGGCGTTAGACACACATATGTGATATAAATATATAGCCCTATCTGTCCTCTAAAAAACAATATATAATATGTGTGGGTGCACTTTGTAAGAAAGTATATTACTGACGTGGAAGAATCACACAGCAAAAATGTCAAAAGTGTGTCAGTCATTTACGAACAGAAACCAAAAACAAGCTCAGTCATGAAGGGGTTAATAATGATCTGTCTAAGCCCCCGAAAATTAGTGGAACAAGAAGCTGGTTCTCTTCTGCGGGAACCATCAATGATGATAATAAAAGAGTCAGTCTTACTAATGGAAGCAGTGGATGTGAGGTAGACACACACTGCTCATACTATAGTTCATCCAGACAATGAAGAGAAGCCTCCTTTTAGGCTGCATTCACATCGGTTACTGTGCTACAACACACAGCTGCCAGTGTGTGTTAGCAGTCGTTCATTTCTTCTCTTCATATTCTTTCTGTGCCCATCTGTGACAAGACAAATTGCCTTCTCTTGCGTTGGGGTTGCACTGGAAAAAACAGCCAGCACAGCCCCAATGCATTCAGTGTGACTCAAGCTTAAATGTAGTAGTGCTGGAAAGAGGAATGGCAGCAAAATGCCCTGGTCGAAGGGGATGGAAGGAGGCTCTAGGCCAGGGGTGCATACAATTTTTGTATTAAGATCTACTTTTCAAATGACGAGCTACATGAAATCTACCAATGAAAAAAAAAACCTCCCTCGCTCTCTCTCTCGCTCTCCTGGCTGTCTCTCCTCGCTCTCCTGGCTGTCTCTCCTCGCTCTCCTGGCTGACATTCCTAGTTTTCTCTCTTGGCTGTCTCTCTTCGCTCTCTTGGCTGTCTCTCTTCGCTCTCTTGGCTGTCCTTGCTCTCTCCCCTGGCTGTCTCTCCTTGCTCTCTCCTGTCTGTCTCTCCCGGCTCTCTCTCCTGGCTCACCTTGCTGTATTTTGCAAACAGTGTAGTGCAACAGGCTGTGTAAACTAATATTCTTTGAAGTAATACATAGCACTTCAACCACCAGTATCCACCCAGAAAGGTGTCAGGGAGCTTGGCTCAGCAGACTCAGGCTAATAGGTAATCATGTGTGCACAGCTAAATAAATATACCAAAATGGAATAAAGGGGCCACCATTCACACTTTGAGAGCTACCGGTAGATCACGATCTACCTAATGGGCCCCTTTGCTCTAGGCCTTAAAACAATCTTGTGTATGACCAGAAAAGGTTTTTTACAGCACAAAGCCACAAGTTCAGACACATGCCTCACAGAGGTGATGACAACAAGGAAAGTGACCTTGTGAGTAAGAATGGAAAGGTAAATATTCCTAATAGGTTCAAAAGCAGAGAACCAAATTCAAATCCTGATGATGGGTCAATGCATAAGGGGAGGCATATGCAAGACACCCTGTACAAAGGTCCTATTCAAAGAATGGAAGGTTATGAGTCTTTTGAACAAGATCGCAAGTGCTGAGATTTGCCCCTGATGGTACTAAGGGCTAAATGCTGATCCAGACCTGATTACAAAAATTTCAGAATATATCCCACAGAATATTTTCTGGAATAAAAGATTCTGTTCTTTCACCAAGCGAAGTATCCACTGCTTTTCCCAGAAGATCTCTACACCTAGGGACAAACCTGTACAGTTTGTTGTTGAACCTGGAGGAGATCCACATCCATTGCCTCCCAACTGTGGCACAGGTTCTGGAACACTTCTGGGTATATGTCCTATTCCTCCAGATCCTGCTGGCTGAGGAAGTCTACCAGCTTAATTTTCAAACCGGATATAGTTAAATTTTATTTTAAAGTATGAAATTTGGCAAGCGGCCCCCATGGGAGAAAAAAAAATTGTCGAGTGGTACCCGAGTGAATTGAGTTTGAGACCCCTGGTCTAGGGGATAAGTCTAATATAATGCGCAAGTTTCAAATCATGCAACTGCTCCATGAGCACGTTTTGTATTTGGCCACACCTTTACAATGTGATATTTATACAGGTGTGGACAA